CTTGTTACCCAGGCTGGAGTGCAATGGCCCAATCTCGGCTCACCGCAACCTCCGCCTCCTGGGTTCGAGCAATTCTCCTGCCTCAGCCTCCCGAGTAGCTGGGACTACAGGCGTGTGCCACCATGCCTAGCTAATTTTTGTATTTTTAGTAGAGACGAGGTTTCACCATGTTGACCAGGATGGTCTTGATCTCTTGACCTCGTGATCCACCCGCCTCACCCTCCCAAAGTGCTGGGATTACAGGCGTGAGCCACCACGCCCGGCCCCAAACATGCATTCTTACAAACAACTGGACCTGGGCAGAAAATTGGAGCTGGTCTCATTTTCTTCTTGAGCTGTGTCTCTGTCTTCTATGGCTCTTTATCATCTTTTCAGTTAATACTTTCTGGGCAAAGACTCTGACCTGTCAAAAACCTAGACTTTATTGAACACTTACTGTATACTAGGCACTGAGCTAGCTGCCTCACACATAGTTCATTTAATCTTCAACCAGCCTTCCCTACTCCCTGCCACTCAAGACCTGAGGCATCACCTCTCATCTGGACTATTGTCATGGCTACGTTTATTTCTGTGATTGGTTAATTAAATGTAGTCTATCCCTGGCACAAGGCTCTAAGCCCCTTGCTGGCAGGGATCATGTCCACTTAGTTCATGGCTGTATCCCAGCACCTAGCTAGAATAATGCATGGTCTTCATATAGCTGGTCAAATGCAAAGGATTGTATGAACAGCCAGATGAAATAGGTATCATTATTTCCATTTTACAGAAGGACAAACAGGCTCAGCAGGCTTAAAAAGTGTATGCCTGTCTTAGAACTATTCAATGTGGGAGTTTAGGTTTAAATCCCTGTTATTCTATACTAGCCAGAAGAGAAACTGCAAGGAGAAGGCTACATTTAGGTTTCATCAATTTCAGGAGTCCTGTTGAGGGAACAGGGCTGTATTTTTGCCATGGTTATGGCCTTCACCAGCATCTTACATGTACGCCAGTAACTCCCAGGGTTTGAACTGCTGAATCTAGATCTGAACACCCTTGGCAGCCACTGCTATCCACTATTGAGTGCCTACTGCATGCTGAGTCATGAGGGAAAAGAGATGGGTTTCCTGCCACTCAAAGGACGTAAGAGTGTCATTCAGGAAAAGAGTCGAAAATTCATGGGATGATTACCGAGGATTTTGTTGGGCCTAGGAACTGTGCTAGATGCCAGGATCTTAGCAAGAATGTGAGGTAGACACAGTTTCCTCCTTGGAAGCTAAAGACAAGCCAGAAAGGCTTATGGTGAACAAATGGTCACGATCATTATTCACCGGCACCTGGGAAAAGCGCTAAGAAAAATGGATGACGTGACAACACGAGGCTGTTTCCGGCAACACGCAGGGAATGGGGCTCAGAAACCTTCCTGGATGAAGTGACGTTTAAGCCAAAGCTTGAACTGTCAGCAGAAGTGGCCACGGAAAGAGGGAAGAGACGAGCACGCAAAGAAATGGGGAAAGCTTGTGCGAAGGCCCCATGGTGGGAAGGTGGGTGTGCGTGGTGAGCAGTCTGAGATGAGGCAGGGGCGGTGGCAGGGGCGGCCCCTGCCAGGTCTTGTAAGCTGTTAAGGATCTCTGTCCTTCCCTTTGGGACAGTGGGAAGCCCTGCAGGGTTTACAAAGCCCAGTGAGGAGGCGGCCCACAGGGTATCCGAGGAGGCCCTTCCTTCTGCAGATGGCCCCTCCTTCTGCAGATGGCCCCACTCAGCCAGACGGTCATGGGCAGGGTCCTCCCTCTCTCCCTCCGTAGATGCATTCTTCCTGTCCCCAGGGAGAACTATCCTGTCTTGGAGAGAGTTGGGCTGGGGGTGGCCTCAGCAGCTGGTTTTTCCCCTTCCCAGGGCCCTGTCACTCCCAGCCTCCCCTGGGTGTCTATGCCTCTTGCCACTTGCTTGTAAGATTCCTAATATAGCCTGACTGTTTCCTTCCCAACTGATGGCCAAGAGCTGCTCTCCTGTTGCAATCTCAATTTTTCTTGAGCTTAAAGGGACCACGTCAGCCCATCTCATGCCAAACTGAAGCCAAAGGCAGGGTGATTGATTTAATTTCATAAACTCGTCCAACCCAGAGATTAGATGTCTTCTCTCTTTCTCCCAATGTACTGTCTTCTCCGCTCTCTGCGTGCTCACTTTCCCCTTTCCTTTTTTCTCCTTCTTTCTTCTGAGAAGTAGAGGAACATAGCCAGACATGGATTTGAGTTTGGCTCTGGCATATTAATCAGCTGTGTCATCTTGGATGAGTCCTTTGTCCTTGCTGGGCCTTAGTTTTTTCTCATCTGTAAAACCATAAAATACCTCTCCAGAGCTGTTATTCCACAGAGCTGTTTGCAGATGGACAAAGCAGAAAGAAGAGGATAAACAGTTATGGAAGGCCTGCTGTTCATGCACTCATTCATTCATCCAACACATATTTATTGAGTACCTATTTGGCACAGTTCAAGGCACTGAGGATACCACAGTGAACAAAAAAAGAGAAAAGAATCCTTGCCTTTAAGGAGCTCACATGCCAGTGAGGGGGGTGGTCAGTAACACACACAAAAAAGCAAAATGTATGTTGCATTAGACATGCTCTAGGGAAAATAAAGCAAGAGAGGGAGATAGAAGACCTTGGGCAGGGGCTGAATCTTAAATAGGGTGGTCACAGGTGACTTCATTGAGAAGGTGACATGAGTAAAGGCTTGAAGACAGCAAGAGGGTGAACCATGTAAGAGTCTGGAGGAAGGGCATTACAGGTAGAGGGAACAGCAATGGCAAGGCCCAGAGGTGCTTCCATGACTCACGTGCATCAGCAAACAGCCTTTGTGGCTAGAGTGGAGTGAGGGAAAGGGGAGCACGAGAGGAGAGGGGCACGGAGAAGTGATAGGGATGAAGTTCAGGTAGGGCCTGCGGTTCACTAAGAACATCAGCTTTTCTTCTGAGTAAGAAGGGGCAGTGTAGCATTGTGATCTGACTTAATACATGTGAACAAAATCCCTCTGACTGCTGTGTGAGGGATGGATAGATGGGCAAGGGTAAAATCAGGAGACCAGTGTGGCAGTGACAATGAAAATCCAGGTGAGAGAGAACGGCGGCACAGACCACCATCTAGTCAAAGGGAGGTGGTGAGAAGTGGCTGGATTCTGGATTCATTTGGAAAGAGCTGATGGCTTTCCTGATAGATATTTGCAGAATGCTATGCTGGGTTTTTTTTTTTTTTTTTTCTGAAAAGTTTCTTTCCAATTTATTTATTTACATTACAAAAATCAGCTTTATCAAGGTGTGGTTTCCATATGATAAAATGCATTTGAAATGTGAAGGTGTGACAAATGTGCACACTTGTGTAAACCATCAGCCAATCAAGATGCAGAACATTTGGCTGGGTGCAGTGGCTCATGCCCGTAATCTCAGTACTTTGGGAGGCTGAGGTGGGTGGATCACCAGAGGTCAGGAGTTCAAGACCAGCCTGGCCAACACGGTGAAACCCCACCTCTACTAAAAATACAAAAATTAGCTGGGCACGGTGGCACATGCCGGTAGTCCCAGCTACTGGGGAGGCTGAGGCAGGAGAATTGCCTGAACCCAGGAGGCGAAGGTTGCAGTGAGCTGAGATTGCACCACTGCACTCCAGCCTGGGCAACAGAGTGAGACTCCATCTCAAAAAAAAAAAAAAAAAAAAAGGAATTTCCAAGGTCACCCAATGAGATGGAGTTTTTGGACAGGTTCAGTCAGTCTTTTTGCAGATATTAACAGAGCATCTCTATGTACCAGGCACTGTTCCAGGTTCTGGAATCCATCCAAGAACAAAATAGAAGATATCCCTGTCCTTGTGGAGCTTCTGTTCTAGCAGAGGGAGAAAAGCAATTAATGTGATAAATAAGTCACATGGTATATTAGAAGCTGATGTGTGCTGTGAGAAGAACAAGGAAAAGTAGATAAGCCAGCAGGGTGGTGGGGATGCAGGCAGGTTGCAATTTTGGGAAAAAATGTTGTGGGTTCATAATAGGTGTATGTATTAAATATTTATGGGCTACATGAGATGTTTTGATAAAGGCACACAATGTGAAATAAGCAGATTGCAATTTTAAAGAGGGTGGTGTATTCGTCAGGGTTCTCTAGAGGGACAGAACTAGTAGGATATATATATGTTTATTAAGGAGTATTAACTTAGACGCTCACAAGGTCTCACAATGGGCTGTCCGAAAGCTGAGGAGCAAGGAAGCCAGTCCAAGTTCCAAAGCTGAAGAATTTGGAGTCTGATGTTTGAGGGCAGGAAGCGTCCAGCTTCCTGGAGGAAGGATGGTGTAGGCTGGGCAGCTAAGCCAGTCTAGCCTTGTCACATTTTTCTGCCTGCTTTATATTTGCTGGTGGCTGATTAGAAGGTGCCCACCCAGACTAAGGGTGGGTCCACCTTCCCCAGCCCCCTGACTCAAATGTTAATCTCCTTTGGCAACACCCTCACAGATACACCCAGGATCAATACTTTGCATCCTTCAATCCAATCAAGTTGATACTCAGCATTAGCCATCACAGGGGGGCAGAATATGTCTCATTGTGCAAAGACTTGAAGGATATCTGGAGGAAAAGAGTTCCAGGAAGAGGGCAGAGCAATGCACAGCAAGTCTGCTGGGGTGAGCTTAAGAGTCCCTACCGTGGTTGTTTACCCAGCCATCTTGCTCTTGGACATTTATTAGGAGGAAGACCTTTTGGTTTTTGTTAACCAGAAAGAATGTATCAGCTTGCGTTTAAAACAAAAACAAGAAGGCTCAGAATTTCTGCCTTTGATGCAGTGAATGTTATATATTAGGTACCGTTCTATATGTTGGAGGTACAACGATGAAAGCAGAGAACTGCATTTCAGTGGCACTGCCATGGGAGAGAAAGACCAAGATGGTGGCCGAGCTGTGTGGGGGGTGAGTGGGGGAGATGTGAGCTGGAGGTGGTTGTGTACCATCTAAGAGGACACAAATTTCCAAGGTGACATCTGGAGCTACTGGTGGGGGGGAAGGGGTTGGGGATATATTTGGGGGGATCAGCAGGACATAGATGGCAGTTTAAAAACACCAGATGATGCAATCATCTAGAGAGAATAGGAGAAGGTTTTGGATGACCCCTGGGGAGAACCACATGTCAGGATGGGGGTGAAGGATGAAATTATTTTGGCAGCTGTGTATAAGCTTGTCATACAACTCAGGTGACCTCACACATGAGCACAGCTTTGTAGAGTCACAGTCTCACACACATATCTTTGCTTTCAGAGTTTTTCAGAGACATTAACTCATTTAAACCTCAAACAAACAAACAAACAAACAAACAAAAAACCGTAGGAGGTAAGAGGCAGTTATTATCTCTGGCAGATGAGGAAGCTAAGGCACAGGGAGGTTAAGTCAGTTGCCCAAGGTCAAACAACTAGTAAAGGCAGAGGCAGGATCTGGACCCAGGGGCCCTGGCTCTGCAGTCTTTGCTCTGAATCACTACTCTCTGCTGCCTCTCCACGCACATACAACTTGCATGGCTACTAACAAAGCATCTCAGTCCCAGGAGCTCACGGACTTGTGTACAGGCAGGACCTAGGTTGCCAACAGCTTGTCCACACCACTAGCCTTCCTCCATATGGTCTCACCTGGTCTCAGTGTCTCAGTTTCATTGATGCCCACCACACACTCAGCCTGGAGTGCTACATATTACTTTGTTCTTTGGCACTCCGATAGCCTTGCACACTCGGAACATCATACACATCCAAAATGTCACCTCCATGAGATCTCAGGCACTTACCCACTGTGCACACACTGCACTGCACGCTCATGATTTGTGTGTGTGTTTGTGTGTGTGTGTGTGTGTGTGAGAGAGAGAGAGAGAGAGAGAGAGAGAGAGAGGGAGAGGGAGAGAGAGGGAGAGGGAGACAGGGTCTCAGTCTGCAGCCCAGGCTGGAGTGCAATGGTACAATCATGGCTCACTGCAGCCTTGACCTCCCAGGCTCAGGGGATCCTCCCACCTCAGCCTCTCTAGTAGCTGGGACCACAGGTGCATGCCACCAGGCCTGGCTGATTTTTTGTAGAGAGAGTTTTCCCCGTGTTGCCCAGGTTGGTCTTGAACTCATGAGCTTAAACGATCCGCCCACCTCGGCCTCCCAAAGTGCTGGGACTACGCGCATGAGCCACCTCCCCCACCTCCTGATCTTATGTAGTCAAAAGACATCGATGCGTGCCCACAGTGTCTTGTACACACGATCTTGCGCGCGCGCGCGCACACACACACACACACACACACACACACACACACACACAGCTTCATGCTCTCCAACATTCACACTACCATGCGAACTTGCTGGCTTATCCGTACATGACTTGTGACCTCACCATGTTCCCACCAACGGAAATTTTCCCACCATCGTGCAAGCTCCTCCTGGCTGACCCACTCGTGTTACTACACACTCTAGTAGGCTCACACTCCCCCACCCCGCCTTGCCCACTCCTGCCCTCGCCCTCCCAGGCCACCGTCGTGCCGCCCACTGACGCAGCCTCTCTTCGCCCGCAGGGACGTATCAAGGCCAGTTCACCAACGGCATGCGCCACGGCTACGGCGTGCGCCAGAGCGTGCCCTACGGGATGGCCGTGGTGGTGCGCTCGCCGCTGCGCACGTCGCTGTCGTCCCTGCGCAGCGAGCACAGCAACGGCACGGTGGCGCCGGACTCGCCCGCCTCGCCCGCCTCCGACGGCCCCGCGCTGCCCTCGCCCGCAATCCCACGCGGCGGCTTCGCTCTCAGCCTCCTGGCCAACGCCGAGGCGGCCGCACGGGCGCCCAAGGGCGGCGGCCTCTTCCAGCGGGGCGCGCTGCTGGGCAAGTTGAGGCGCGCAGAGTCGCGCACGTCCCTGGGCAGCCAGCGCAGCCGCGTCAGCTTCCTCAAGAGCGACCTCAGCTCGGGCGCCAGCGACGCCGCCTCCACCGCCAGCCTGGGCGAGGCCGCCGAGGGCGCCGACGAGGCCGCGCCCTTCGAGGCCGACATCGACGCCACCACCACCGAGACCTACATGGGCGAATGGAAGAACGACAAACGCTCGGGCTTCGGCGTGAGCGAGCGCTCCAGCGGCCTCCGCTACGAGGGCGAGTGGCTGGACAACCTGCGCCACGGCTACGGCTGCACCACGCTGCCCGACGGCCACCGCGAGGAGGGCAAGTACCGCCACAACGTGCTGGTCAAGGGCACCAAGCGCCGCGTGCTGCAGCTCAAGAGCAACAAGGTCCGCCAGAAGGTGGAGCACAGTGTGGAGGGTGCCCAGCGCGCTGCTGCCATCGCGCGCCAGAAGGCCGAGATCGCCGCCTCCAGGTAGGACAGCGGTGGTGGGGGTGGAAGGGGTTGCTTTTGGTTGGGGAAGAGGGGCTTGGGGCAGGGTAACTTAGAAGGCCCTATCTCCAAGCCTGATTCTGCTTCTTTTACCCCCATCACCTTCAGAGAGTTAACTGGAGGTGCTTCAGGAGCTGGTGTCTCCTGTTCACTCATCCATCATCCATCACTCAGCTACACCCAGCCCTCCATTGACTTAACCCTTCCACTCACCCAGCCTCTTTAAAATGCTCCTGAACAACCATCTCTCCAGTCATCCACTCATCCCCCGACCCATTCCACTTCTTGTTTACCCACCCAGCCATCCAGTCAAACATCTATCCACACATCCTGGCAGTCAACCACCAGACACCCACCCAAATCCACCCAATTCCTTCATTCACTAACTTCTCTAACACTCACTGAACAACCCCTCTACCCACCCAGCCATCCCCCGTCCCACATCACACTGAACATCACCTACCTGAACAACCACCCATTCAGTCAAAGATTGACTCATCTCTTCCATCCAACCTGCCCCACTTTTTATCCTTTTACCTATCCAGCCAACTAATCACTCATCCATCCATTGACTCAACCATCCATCCAACTACCGAGATGCCCATCTAAACATACAAACACACTTTCAACCACTCACCTGTCCCTTCATCCACCAACCACCTGCATTCACTCAGCTACTTCCAGCCACCTGGCCATCCATTGTAACATCCAGCCACACATCCATTCACTCAAGTACTTCCATTGATTCACCCAGCAATGCTTCAGTCCATTAAAACAACATGCACTCCCACCCACCGGGTAATCCAACCACCCATCAGGTAATCCAACCAGCCAGCCAGCCACCTCTCTTACTCAACCACACTTCCATCCAGCAATCTGTCCACACTTCCATTCATTCAGCCACCCCCACCTATCCATCCACCCATGCATCCATCCACGTTCCCATCCACTAAACACCAACCCGATCATCTACATTCAAACCCCTTTAAGTCTTCTCTTTGTACTTCACATAAAGTTCTAATGTTGTCTCCAAACATTTATGGCACCTATTAGGTACAAGTCAATTCTAAGTGGTTCACAGATATTGACTCGCTGGGTCCCTTTAATGTTTGAGAGGTGATTAATCCTTGCGATAGGTACTATGTTTATTTCTGTTTTGCAGATGAGATAAGTGAAGCGCAGACAGATAAGGTGACTTGTCCAAAATCACCCAGTTAGCGAGTGGCCTTTTATAATCTGGTTCCCACCCTCTTACCAGACTTATTTTTTCTCATTCTTTCCCTGAGCCTGGATTTTTCTTCCCTCTGTGCTGCTGCTTCCTTCTTTAGTTCCTCCTGCCACAGAGCTGTAGTTCATACTGCTTCCTTTGCTGCCCACGTGACTTCTACTCCTCCTTCAGAGCCCAGGTCAACCCTGATTCCCTTAGAGAGCTGACGAGGTCCACTGCCAGCTGCTGTTCTGTCCTTAGAATGCATCACAGATGCAGCGTTACATGACTTACATGATTTGTTTTTAACCCACCACTTAAATAAGATTCCCTATGTGCCACTTCTGAGGTCTTCGCCTACATTAATTACCTACAGTAACTACCTGAAGAGGTAGATACTGTTCTTATTCTCATTTTGCAAATCTGGAGTGAGCTGCAAGGACAGCAGCGGTGTGGTCTGGCAGGAGGGTGGTAAAAGGCACTCGCCTGTCCTGGGCTGTAGCAATTCTCCTGGGAAGCGGTAAATGGCCTTGGCAGGAGACGGGAACATGGTCTTCAGAGTTAAGCAGGCCTAGGGCCAAATCCTGGCCCTGCCATTTTTTAGCTCATTGATCTGGGCAGATCAGTTGGCCTGAGTGTCAGTTTCTCATCTGTGGCACTGCCATTTCTTAGTTGTATGTCCTTGGCCAGATCTGTTTTCTTCTTCTATTACTAATCTCAGTGGTCTCATCTGTAAAGACAAGTTGGTCTAAGAGTTAGGAAAGACAGTGCAGGTCAGGTGGCTCACAATCCTGTTGTGAGGTGAGTTCGCCTGGGAAGTGGACTTTGAGATGAAGATTAACATGCAGAAAATGCATAAGGAACACTCTCTAGATCAACACTTGTGGGGAAGGGAAGAAGGCCAGATTGGGCAGTGGGAGACACTGGGTTGCAATGCAGTCTCAACAAAGCCTCAGCCAGCTGTAAGGGGTGCTCTGCAGTGGAGATAGCCTTCAAAGTCATCCCAAGTTGGGATGAGGGAGCTGGATCTTTATACCCTCCACATTTGTATGCAGGCTACCCTCCAGAAGGAGGCTGGACTGGGGCTGGACAGCTCTCTTCAGCCAAGGGCAATCCCTGGAGAGGGCTGGCAGCTGGCAACTGTCTGAGTACCTGGGAGTGGGAGAAATAAGTCCCTCAGTCCTGAAGGGGAATCCGGGTTGCCCATCACAGTCACCACTGCAGTGCCGGACACCAGACATGGTATCATTGTCATCATACAATGAATTCATTTTATGGACGTAGAAACTGAGGCCCAGAGAAGGAATGTAATATGCCCAAGACTACCTGGCAAGCAAGTGGGAGAGCCCAGGCATCAACTTCTAGCTTTCTGATTCTAAAACTTTAACTAGCACATCTTGCTAATGCTCAACTTTGTAAACTTTAAATTGCTCTAAATGTGTGAACAGTTGGCATCATTAAGGGGGACAGAAGGTATGGGAGATTTTCTCAAGACTTCTTGGTTAGACGCAGATGTGGTTTGAATGTTTATCCCCTCCAAAACTCATGTTGAAATTGTCATTGTAATATTAAGACACGGGACCTTTGAGAGATGATTAGTCCTGAGACTAGTGCTTGAGGGGTGAGTAATCCTCATGGGTGGGATTAAATCCCTTATAAAAGAGTGAGTTTGACCCCTTTTTGCCTCTTGGCACTCCTGCCTTCTGCTGTGTGAGGATCCAGCCTTCCTCCCCTCCAGAGAATGCAGCATGCGGGGTGCCATCTTGGAGGAAGATAATGGCCTCCCCAGACCCTGAACCCACTGGTGCCTTGACCTTAGACTTCACCTACAAATGACCCAGTCCTAGATATCCTGTTAAAGGACCAGTATCATGACCAGGTGGTCATATAATTTACTTTCTAAACCTGAACGCCTCTATGAGTAAAAGGGAGAACTTTTTAAAAATAAAACTTTTACGTGGAAGTAATTTTAGATTTACAGAAAAGTTGCAAGGAGACTACAGACAGTTCCCATACACTCTATCCGTTTTCCCCTAATGTTAACTTATTACATCATCATAATACATTTGTCAAAACCAACATGGCACGTAACTCTTCACTAAACTCCAGACTTGATTTGCATTTCACTAAATTTCCCATTAATGTCTTCTTCCTGTTCCAGGATTTCATGCAGGATCGCACACTGCATTTAGTTGTCAGGTCTCTGTGGTCCCCTATGGTCTGTGACGGTTTCTCACTCTTTCCTTTTTCCTTTTTTTGTGTGTCCTTGACAGTTTTGGTTTTTTTTTGAGGCAGGGTCTCACTGTGTTGCCCAGGCTGGAGTGCAGTGGTGCCATCTTGACTCACTGCAACCTCTGCCTCCTGGGTTCAAGCGATTCTTGTGCCTCAGTCACCAAAGTAGCTGGAACCATGGGTGTGCGCCACCACACCTGGCTAATTTTTGTATTTTTAGTAGAGACCGGGTTTTACCATGTTGGCCAGGCTGTTCTCAAGCTCCAGGCCTCAAGTGATCCTCCTGCTTTGGCCTCCCAAAGTGCTCATATTACAGGTGTGAGCCACACACCAAACCCAACAGTTTTGAGGAGTACTAGTGAGACAGTTTGTAGAGTGTCCCTCAGTTTAGGTTTGTCTGATATGTTTCTTATAATTAGACTGAGGTTATAGATTTGGGGGAAGAAGACCACAGAAGTAAAGTGCCCTTTTCATCACATTGTAATAGGGACACATGATATGAACATGACTGATTACTGAGGATGTTAACTTTGATCTCTTGGCTAAGGTAGGTCTCCCAGGTTTCTCTGATGTCCAGCTCCTATTTCCTCTTTTCCCACTCTACCCTTTGGAATTCAGACATTCAGTGCAGCCCACACTCAAGACAGACAAGGGTCTGAAATTCAGCTGCACCAGATTTTGGAGGGGGAAATATCTACCTATATTATTTGAAATTCTTCTGTATGGAAGATTTGCTCCTTCTTCCAAAGGGAACATTTTTAATAATTACACTAAATGTATCTAGTTATGACAAGTGTAAGCACAGACTGTCCCAGGCCACCCTGGGCCACTTAGGCAGAGCACAGCAGGAAAGAGCTTAGGTTCTTGATTCAAAAGACCATGAATTAGAAATGCAGCTCTTCTCCTGGAGAGCTGTGTGACCTTGCTCAAGTTCTTCACCACTCTGACCCTGCGCTCCTCTTTCCTCATAGAAGTAGGTGAGCTAATGCCTGTAAAATGCTTGGCACTGGGCAGCCAGCAGTAAAGACAATCATTGCTACAATCTAACATTTGATTTTAAAGGTGAGGAAGTGGAAGTTTTGGGAGAAGGAGGGATGTTCCCTTATTTTCCTTGCCCTCCTGGTCTTTCCTGCCAATGCCTGTGCCCTTGCACGTGAAGGTGTCGAGCTCCCACCGAGAAGGCTGCCAGGCCCACAGCGGGGAAGTGAACCTGGGGACTGAGCAGTTGGGACCCAGCCTCGTGCATGCAGTGGTGCTGTGAGAGCCCCGGGGGATTTGCATTCCTCATGTGTCTGAGGCAGGAGTCCTGCCTGCCCACGGAGCTGTTGCCATGGGTGGGGGTGGCTGCCTGGATGGGTTTCAAGCTCAGGCTGAATTTCCAATTAAGGGAATTTTAGGGTCAAGAGGAAAAGCAGGATTGTGGTCATCTTCCTCAGGGACTCTCCCCATCCCTGGGGCTTCGTGAGTAATCTGGCAGCAGAGAGACAGAAAGCATCCCCAGCAGCCGCAGCCTTCTCACACCCAGACAGGCCCTGGCTTTCTC